TGGCCACGCTCCTACTTTTGTTCATGTCTGTTTCTCAGATGAAGCTGTGACGCCGGTTTTGCTCAGACTTCCAATGTGCCTCAGGAGACAGCGTTCGGGCTGTGTTTTGGGGCAAAGTCAAGACGTCCCAGATGTCACAAATGGGGGACATTCTTCTCTGTCTGAAGGGCACGTGCAGTGTGCCCTGTGCTTTTGTTCCCTGCAAGCTGAAGGATGTGTTCGTTTCTGGATTGTTGACTCGAGTGAGTTTAATTAGAGCCGCGAGTTTCTTTCTTCAGAGAGAGCTGTGCGGGGCCAACGGCAGTCATTTCTCTATTTCTGGAGGAATTTACAGGCAGACCTTTGATTTACAGGGAAATTTTAGGTTACTGGCACCCGACAGTCGGTCTCTTCTCCAATCCCGGAAAGTGAGGCCGTGGGCAGGCTGTGCAGCCTGTGGGCACGGCGGCTTGTGGGCGTGCGGCTGTCCCCAGCGGTCAGCTCGGCAGGGACTGGTGCCAAGGTCCAGGGCTTTGCCATTAGCAGACGGTGAAGACGAGGGTGACGACGAAGGCTGCCGTCTGCGGGGCCGTGGGGGAGCGGCGGGGTTCTGACTCCCTTTGGCAAATCGGGAGACGACCATCCCCTACCCTGCAGGGATGGCTCTGTCCCCCTCGGGGACCATGCAGGGGTCGGAATGACAAGAGGCTGTCCCCCTGGGCACAGAAAGAGACAGCAAGCCCCATGTCACAGCCTGATGCCCGGGGTCCAGCTCCGTCATCCTGGGCGGTGGGCACGGCAGAGAGGAAGGCCACAGAGGGGGCGGGGGTGCCTGTCGGGCTGGAAGTGGCCCTGAGAGGCTCCCAAAGCCACAAGCACCGGTGACCTAGCGAGTGCCCGCCTCTTAACAGGCCCTTCTGCCGAGGCATCCCTGCGGAGGGCGTGGCTGTGGTGACCAGCGACTGGTGACCCGGGGCTCCAGAGACGCAGCAGCGTCCCCGCCCCTCGCCTGGGGAAACTGGCAGCGCTCCCTGAAAGGAAAGAGGTGTCTTCCCCGCGGGGAAGCTCTGCTCCCCCAGAGTCAGGGTGGCTGGCGCAGGGTTCACAGCCCTTCTGGAATGCGGCCTTCCTGATGCTTCCTTGCTGTCTCCAGGGAGGTGGGAAGCAGAGCCAGACGTCGGTCCACACCGCTCTGGTCTGTGTCCACTGCTTCCAGGCACCCGGTTTGCAAAGACCTCAGTGAGTCCAATGGGCACAGGAGGCTCTTTGAGCATAAACGTCAAGCGAATGTCCCAACGGGCCTAGACACCAGAACGATGGCCCCAGTGTCTCTTCTTGGAATCCAGTCATCTCTGCACAGAAGGTGGGTGAGCAGGTCAGGGCTGTGGGGTCCGGAGCGTTCTCTTTGGACAAGACAAGTTGTAATGGGTTGTGCAGTAGGTGAGGGCCTTGGCCCCAGGTTCAGCGGCGATGGGAAGTAGCCCTCAGGGGCAGAGCGGAGCGCTGGGCCCCCGGGGGAGAGGCCAGGCCACCCGTCTCCGCCGGCACGCTCCCCGAGGAGCCTGGTCTCTCTCGGTGCCCATGGCCAGACCCATGGCGTCCACCAGATGTGCGGCCACGGGGCTCATCCACCTCCGGCCAGAGCCAGAGTTCGGCAAACGGGAGGATCTGATTCAGGAGACAAGGGGGGTGGGAAGGGCATCTTCGGAGGCCGGGAGATGGGGATTTCTGTCTCCCCTGCACACAGACCGAGCTCTCACAGGCCGAGAGCACCCAAAGGCATCCCGATGGCTGCTGGTGAGACCTGAGTCCCCGGGAGCACCTGCAGATGTCCCCGGACGCGCTGCACAGTCTTCAGAGAAAAGGCCTTCATCTGTCACCTACTGTGTGGTCGAGAAGCTGAGGCCTGGAAGCAGCAACGCACCCGCCCCCACCTCCACCCCACGGCCAGAGGCAGTGACCGGTGGACGGGAAGCCAGAAGCGTCCGGGGCCCTGGGTGTCCATCCGGAGGCTCTCAGGCGTCGCATGGCTGAAAGGCAGGACACACCAGACCTAGGGGTGCCCAGGGCTGGGGGGGCACGGGTTCCCCACGGTGTGGGCAGCACAGAAGGCTACTTTCGCTGTTGTTGGTGCTTTTCCGGTGAGGAAAGGGAGCCCAGCGGTTGAAGCCAAGCCACAGCCTGTGTCTCTGGTTTTAACTCTGCTCTGGTCCACGGCACGAGGTGTCTTGGCTCCTTGGCACTCTGGAGTGGGAGCGTGGGGGCTGCCCGGGCCCTCTCCAGCCAGGGAGGCCTGGATGAAGTGTCCTTCAGCCTCCAAGAGACTAGGAGCCAGGGGCCGTCGGGGTGGATGCTGTCCCACTGCCGCTCTTCACCAGCCCCCAGGACTCAGGGGGAGGCCACGCATGGAGGGTCGGCCACGGGACTGAGTGTCCTGCGTGAGGCTCGGCACACCCACAGCGTCATGCTTCACGCAGTCCCCCGAGATGGGACCCCATGCAGGGAGATGGGGCCAGGGGCGCAGAGCAGGACACATAAGTTGAAAGAATTTGGTATTTTCCTAGGGGCCTGCCCTCCAGCACTCTGCTCTCCGTCTCTCCCTTGGAATTCTCACCTCTCCAGCTTGCCTTTGGGTTCCCAAAGATGATGCCACCTGCCGGCATGGGCTCCCCTCTCCCAGCTGCAGGGTCACTTCCACCCCTAGAAAAGCTGAGCTCCAGTAGTTCCAGGACACCGTTGGATCCCTTGGAATCAGAGAATTCCTGGTGGGGAGCTGGCTCGTGGAAGCCACCGACAACGGTGGAACCCATCTGTCCTTTGATGGTTACTCTGATGTCATGGTGGCTGGTCCTTTCCTGGCTTTCCTGGTGGATTTGCAGAGAGAGGCAGAGAGACTCACAGGGATACAGAGAGGAGGAGGAGTGTTCTGGAAGGTCGGGGCACAGAGTGTCTGCTCGGCATTGCTCACGGTCTGGAGTCCCCGAATCTGGGGAGGGGTGGCGGTTCGGGCTGAGGGCTGGGAGTCAGCGGCTCAGCTCGCAGCTCTACCCAGCGGCTGTTATCCCCCCACAAGCCTGTTTCAAGAGCCCTTTGCCCCAGACTGTCAGGTGCACTCTGAAGCCATGCAGCGTAGCAAGCCCCCGCGGTCTTGCCCGTGGCAGGTGCCATTAGGTCTACTTTCTGGTCCACGTGACCAGCCTCTTGACATAATAACGGTTCGCAAGTTGCTGGAGGAAGATGTTCCAAATAATCAGCAGCTTTTGCTCAGAGAGGACAGAAGACCCTGGTTTATTGATTCTCTCCATTCGAGAACAGCATGGAAGTGCCGCTCCCTGCAGGAGGGAGGTTCTGGGGTTCCCAGACCCGACCTGCCGGCCCTCCGGGCACCCCTGACACAGGGCGCCTCCTGGAAGGAGCTGTGCACGGTGGGGACTGGTCGCGTGGACCACTGAGGCCCTCGAAGGGTCTGCACGGTCAGTAAGGACTTAGGGGAGCCCACTGGCTTGGCTGTGTGCCGGCTTTGTCCTTGGTTTCAACTCAGGCTCTGTGTTCGACGTCCTGTCACTCCACAAACAGGCGCGTACCGCACCCACCCACACAGCCGCCCGGCACCGGGCGTGCGTCCACGTTCTCGCGGACGTTCCTGTAAGCCAGTCCAAGTCCCATTTGCGGTTCCCACTCGTTACGGGCTGTCCGTAAATGAACAGAAGACAGATGTAGGAACCAGAGCCCCCAGGGTGTCCTCTGTCCCTTACAGCGTGTCCATAGGCGGCCACGGAGACGGGGTCGCGCAGACTGCTTCTTGTACGCGAGGTTACTCTAACGCACGCCCAGAGGTCAGTCTGGGGTGAAGAGGGGGAGGACGGGATGTGGCCTTTTCTCTGCCAAGTCATTTTTTAAAAGAGAGAGATCCACAGTCTAAGCTTTCTGGCGTGACCCAAAGAGCACAGCCTTGTCCTTCTCCCAGCAGAGGCCTCTGCTTCTGCCCGCAGCCGTCTCAGTCAGTGGTGGAGAGCGCAGGGCACGGAGGCGCAGAGTGGTCTCGGGGTGATCAGAGCCAGTGGGGGGCCCGCTGTCATCCGGTCACACATACCAGGTGCTCGGGTGGCCTGAGCATCTGGGAGCACTGGCCCCCCCCGGGCAGGGCGTTTGCTTTGACCAACGAGCCGCGGAGAGAGGCGTCTACAGAGTGAGCGGCCACAGGAGCGGGACCACAGCCTGTCCCGCTGACGCTCTTGGGGGGGACGGTCCACAGGTGTGTCAGACGGTGTGCTCGCAGTGCTGTCCATCGTCTCCAGGCACGGGTTCTCAGCCTTCTGTGCTTTCCCAGGTGACACACTTGGGGGCCCGGCTCGGGTGCCCTGTCACCTGAAAGTGTTGGTCCGTGGCCGCCAGCTCGTGTGGTGGCCGCCACCGTGCGTAAGTGGCACTGTGAGTCCTGGTTGACTTAGGATTCCGCTGGGGTGATGATGCCTCTCCCTACTCCCCTCGCCATCCGTGCCCGGAGCAGGAGACGAGAACCGCTGACCGCTGGTCCTCCATCCCAGCGCGGTCCAGCCGAGCCCAGGTAGGGGCAACGCCCGCCAGCAAACTCCCCAAAAACACACATCATGTGACAAAATAACTCAACTAGCGATTGCTCAGTGTATGTCAGACGCTGGTTTTCGAGGGCAACTCAATGTCACGGTCGTGACCGACTCTCTGTGTCCTAGTGCCATAGAGCCGCTGAGGCCTGGCTGGCCCCGGGGGCTCTTCCCCCGCCCCTGCCCCAGACCTGGCCCTTGGCGGTCGTCACCTGTGCAGTTACCCGACTGAGAACTCAAAGGCCTCCCGAAGGAGAGTTTTCAGTCTTCTCACCTGGACCCTCGCTAGCTTCCCTTGAGGAGCTGGCCCCTTGATTTGCAAATGTGACTCCCCCACGTGCTTCAGCCCTGCTGTAGCCCGTGGGCAGGTGTGTGCCCAGAGGCAGCCCCGCCACCGGGGGGATGGGAGGGGCCTGGCGGGGCCAACACACGTCTTACCTGGTACATGGTGCACAGCCCAGGCTGGCTGTGGGCATGAGAGGGCACAGGGCTCCGTCTCTGCTTGAACCAGGGCACCTGCCAGGGGGACACAGAGTGGCCGTTGAGTCCATGCAGTGCCCCTGGCAGAGCCCCAAGTCCTCCGGCAAACATCCCCTCCTGACCGGGCTTGGCAAATCCCTGCGCGGTGAGGAGGATAAGTGGGGGATGGAGGTCGGAGGGTGAGGGCGTGTGGATGATGGGTGGTGACCACCGAGGGGACAGAGGAAGGAGGAGACAGCAGCAGGAGCCCCCGGCACTCCGGAGAGAGGAACGTCAGAAAAAAAGGAAGAAGAAGAAAGGTTTAAGGGGAAGTTCTGGAGCCCTGAGCCCAACTATGTGACCAAATTTTCTTAACATCGGAGCAGGCACCAGACCTGTAAGATTTTGGACAGACAAGCGGAGGAAGCACCTTCCAGCCCGAAGTGACATGCTACAGGGCTTGTCAAGTCTACACTGGAGTAGAGAAGGTTCCCAGCTCTCCTGGGACGGGTTTCGATCTCCTGCAGCAGGTGTGGGAGCTTCTGTATGGGATTTACAGGAGAAACCACCGCTGTTCTGCCAGGGTCACTGTGCTCTCTCTGTCGGCCCTCCCAGCTTTCAGATACATGGAGGAGAGAGAGAGAGGAGAGAGAGGGAGAGAGAGAGAGGAGAGAGAGGGAGAGAGAGAGAGGAAGGAGAGAGAAGGCACCTTACGGTGGTCAGGAGATAAAACCGACATAAAGGATTTTAGGAGATGTCTCGAGTTGGCTGTGGATTACATGGATTTTATAAAACAGGTTACTGGTGGGTTATGTGTGCAGTGAGCTGTGGTTACGCACAGGAGAATGTTAGCGTGTCTAGAAGCGTTACTGTGAACTGCACACGGAGCTTCCCGAGGCAGATCTGGGGCGAGCGTGCCTACACCCCACCCCTGCTCTTCCCCACGTGGGAGCCGTGATTTCTGTCCCAGCAGGACGGACTGGTGACTTCAATCCCAGGCACGGAGTTCTGCCAGAGTGAGACAATTGTTTATGTCAACATCTTGGGACGAGGCTGCGGTGGCTTCTGCCTTGATGAGGCCTGGTCGTCCCCACAGGCTGGGAGCACCCCCCCCCCCCAACTGGTGGCAGATGGGCAGGTCCACGTTATACTCTTGCCCAAAAGGCCAAGAAGAATTTTGTAACTCATGCCCCCCCCCACTGAAAACAATGCCCCTTCTTAATGAGGGGGACCAGCTCCTTGGGCTGCTTCCAGGTTGCTCTGGGGATCCGTGTCGAGCTACCCGCCCTCCCCCCATCCCTGGCACTTGGGGCTACGAGCGCTGCTGGCCATGCAGGCCGCCCACCCCAGCACGGGGAGGAGCGGGAAGATGGGCGTTCTCTCTTCAGGTGACAGCAGAAGGACGAGGCACTCCAGTGGCCGTGCTCGCCTGACCTCCCATACAGATGCAGGAAGGGGGCTCGGGCACTGAGTGTGCCCCACGGGGCTGGCGGGGACAGAGCTGAGACGTGCCTCTCAGAGGAGCCCTCACTGGTGGGGCTTCCTCAGAAGAGTCCTGGTGCTCTATCTCTTCCTACCTTCATACTACTTCCTCTGAAGCAGGACGGCTCGGGGCAGTTAAGAGTGGGGTGGGAGGGACCTACGGAGACACTCTTACCCTTTCTGCGGGTTCTATGGCTCCTGAGGGCTAACAGGAGCTCTAGGGTGGGGACTCCTGCCTGGGATACGGTCCTTCCCTCCTGGGACACATTCCCTCCGACGTCAGCCCCAGCTCTCCATCAACCAGTCAGCCTTGCCTGTCACCAAACCTCTCATCCTTCGACCAAAAGGAAAACCAGTGACGTTTGTCACTCTACATGCTGCGAACAGACGTAGTGGGCAGTGAGTGAGGACAAGGCAGGTGAACACATCCAAATTAATTGTGTATTTGCTTTTATTTCTAGTTCATCCTAGACCCAATCTCATCCATGACCTTCATGCTCACCGGCATCCTTGGGAAGATCCCGTACCCTGCTGTATCCAGATTCCCGGGGTTCCTAGGGTGCTGGGACACAGCCTCAACAGGGTGCACAGGCGGGTGGGTTTCTCACGTGCCCAGTTGCCTGGGAAACGCCACCGACTGGGCTGTGTCCCCCCAACCCCCACCCAGGGAGAAGAGAATCTGTTCTGCACCCACACTACCCCCAGAGCGGGACGGTGCTCTCCGACGAAACTGAACCCAGTCAGCGGCATAAACACAGCCAGGATGGACCAGAACGCTGAGCTGTCCCCGGAGAGAACAGAACAGAACATCTCTGTGCAAAAGCACACGAGTGAGATGCTGCCCTCCGTGTGCCGAGGGGGCGGCGCTCAGCCCTACACTCACCTGTGGGGTGTCACGTCAGGAGCCAGCGAGATCACCCGTAACAAATGCACTTCATGGGGGTGGCAGGGGGGACCCCAAAGAAGACTACTTGAAAAATTCACGTGTGGTTAGTTCACCACCCTTGTTCTGTTACAAAGTGTAATGAGCGCGTGAAGGAGGAAACCCACACGGAACAGAAGCTGATCCAACGGGCGCACAGACACCCGGCAGGAGGCTCTCGCCATCAGACACATGACCTGATGCCAGGGTGTCGCTCACACAGGGGTGTGGCAGGACTGCCCGGAACAGGGCCACTCGCCCTAACGTGGATCTCACCCCCTGAAGCCACGGGACCCTGGACTTGGAGGGTCTGGGGACGACGGGCGTAAGCCGCCTGCAGCCACAGAGTCGCCGACCCAGAACCGACCAGAGCGCCGACACTTCACAGAGACGTGCCTGGGGGGAGCCTCAGAGAGCACAGCCGGAAATACACCTGCCACATCGCAAGTTCTCTAGAGAGAGCCGGGCCGAACCTCTTGGCAAAGTGACGCACCAGATGGACGGACGGCCAGATCACGGGCACACGGCCTCGCACGGAGAGTCAACCTGCTTCATGTGCGTGGCTGTGCTCCTGGGGGCAGGAGTTCTCCGCCGAAAGGGTGTGTACGGGTCCCCAGGCCCCGGACTCGGGGGGTCAGGCACCGCATGGCCGGGGGCTCCCCCGGCTTCCTACCCCATCCGACCTGCTGCCTCTGAATGCCGCGCTCCCACAGGATTGCAGAGCATAGCTACAAAATCGGGATGTTATGTCAACAACGAAGGAGTAAGTGATGGTAGAACTAAAACGTGATAAATGAGGATGCAGTGGGGAGAGAACTGGGAAACATAACGTGGTGGTTAATTTACGAGATCGGTTGTACCGCGGAGCGGTAGATGACAAATGGCTTTCATCCTGTATGATCAAAATTAGAGGCACAGAAACCACCCTGAGAGCCGCAGGATGGGAGGCTGGGAGCAGGTTCCCCGGGGAGCTCAGCTGTGAAGTCAGGACAGACAGACACAGCCATCTGTGGGGATCAGCTTTTGTCTGGAGAAATGAGAGAGTGGCCTGTCCCCCAGCCTTCCTACTTGGGGACAGCCCAGGGGCACATCAGTGTGTGCCGCTCAGTTATTTCATAAAACCTCACCCCTTCCAGATAAGAAGGAACAAGGGCAGTTTCCAAAGCGAATGACTGGTCTAGGCTTTGGCCACCGCACCCGTGTGGGCCATGGAGGGTGGGGGTTGACAAGGGGGCAGCGGGCGGGCCATGTCCACAAAGACTGCATGCACTTTCTCCTTCATCCTAAAGGCCTGCCCCCTGCCCCTGAGCCCCACAGCCCCGGGAGCTGGAAACCTGTTCTCTGGAAAAAGACAGCAGAGCCCTTGTTTCCTCCCCCAAGCATAGAGCACGTTCTGCCTGAATACGCTCTCCATCCACGGCTCTCAGAAGAACATCCCCTCAAGGAATTCATAATGCAGGTTCCTTGAAGGTCAGCTCCCAGCCACAGGAGGGTGGGCAGGAGGGTGGTCGAGGGCCATGCATTCCGAGGACGGGGGGAGGGGAGGAGCCCCACGAGGCTTCGGGGGAGGGGGCAGCGGAGGGGCCCAGGGGCCCGGCCTTCAGCCTTGCAAGATTGCACCAGGAAGAACCTACTGCAGACAGACAAGCAGAATAATTGCCCCCCCCCCCCGCCCCCCGGCATACTTTACACCCCAGGTAGGGCAGCCAACGCTCAGGCCTGGGCGGGGGCCCTTTCGGGTCTTGTGGACCTGAGACAACCGTCTAGGAATGACAAACGTGGAAACATGAAAAGGGCTTTTAGGGATGATAATCAGGCCCTTCGCTTCTCTTCTTTTCTCAAGCTTCGGTCCAAAGATCTCTCCACGCATGCAGAGCAAAGCAGGAAGAGAAACCAACCCACGGAATCACCCGCAGCCACCAGGAAAGACCCCAGAATACTAGGCCCCCGAGGGCACGTGCGGGCGGAGAGGGCTTGAAGCTCACGTCTCCAGTGTTTCGAGCAAACAGAGTCCACAGCAGAATAAAGGCTCTGAACAGACACCAGTTTCCAGTTCTCCACACGGGAAGGCATCGCGGGCCTGTGTTTCCAGGAAGCCACGATGTGACGACGCGTGCAAACCTAATGGGTTTCTCTGGCACCAAAAGGCAAGGCTGTTCGTTTTCAAATCTGCTTTATTCAACATTCAGTACTGAACAGAATTGACACTTCAGAAATCCTAAAACAATTTTGAAACATGGTTTTCATTTTTTCAAAATCCTGGGAAAATATTCCAATTCCTCTGGCTCCCTGATCATCAGACAATGCTATTTTGCAAAGTTGATGCCTATTTCTGAGATGAATCTTTTCTCTGAAAGTATGAGAGGGGATAAGAGCCTTAAAGCAACTGTGGCTGTAACTCTACATGAAGGAGGAAAAACACGTACCCACGTTCACACAGGTGTATGTGTCCATTCTGAAGTAAAGTCAATGACTGATACCAGTGCGTTCACAATTTTAATCTAGAACATAACCACCGAAACAAAGCTTGTTTTATAATATGTGCTACACAGCCGTTGAATCTTTTCTGCACAGTGTAAATGTTTTCCTGTTCCTTGAGTGAAGCAGAAGAGCTTACACTTCCCAAACCGGCAAAGCCACATGCACAGGAGGGCTTGGAGGGACAGCCGGCAGCCAGAGTCGGGTGCGGTTTGATAGCTGTGCGCAACAGCAGCGTCAGAAACGGGTCAGGTGACCACCACATTGGGGTGAGGACAGGCCCAAAGTCCAAGCAACTGTCTACAAACACAGACCCCGAGAGAACCAAGCGGAAGGTGGACTGAAGACACAGCAACTGTGAGTGGCCAGAAGTCATGACAAGTGTCCCGTGAGAGATGATGGCACCTGGAGGCAGATGCCAGGGACCCACGAGCCACACCTGAGCCTCCAGGAGCCCTAATTCCGGCGCTGCCAAACTGCCCTCCCATTTATGTTCAACGATTTTACCATCATCAGTAATTTTAAAAAACCGTGGTCAGAAACTAAAGCAAATTTTAGAAACGCCTTTAAAATCGCAAGTCAGGCCCCTGCTCCCTACTTCACCCGGAAGAATCTTTACATTCCCAAGACTTTCAGGGCCAGCGCATACACAGCCAGAGGCAAAGCTGCATCGTCTGTGTTTTGTGAACACAGCCAGTGAGCCGGCTGTCTTGAAGCAACCCTCCCTTCCCCGAAGGACCAGCTAAGACCAGACCGGAAAAAGGCGCAGGACACGCTATGCGTTTGCTGCAGCAAAGCCGCCCTGGACAGCCCTCTGACTGGCCGTTGCCGCAGATGCCCCTCCAGGGGCCGCGGCTGGGAACTGGGCTACGATGGGAGCCTTTTCCCTCCTGATACGATTTGTATCTACAGAATATTTACATAGTGAAACTTCACAGACTCTCTCTTCAAATTAATGCAGTAACAAAATAATACGGTTTTGATTCATAAGCACGCAAGGATCCCTCCAGCCCTTTCCCCTAAATAACTCGGATAAAAGACACAATTTGCTCAAGGCGAATTTAAATTTCGAGTTTGTTCAGAAGTCCTCAATCACACGATTGTTGCAAGATAACGCAAAGCTAGCAGCATGGACTCTGAGGAAAATGAGCACAACTCCATGATGACCCCAAAAGCGTGGGCACAGAAGCAGAATCAGCCACAGAGCCCCCGAGTGCGAGACACTGGAGGACGGAGAATGTCCGCGATATGCACAGCACACCCCCTCGAGAGGCAGAATTCAGAATGTTCTCGCCCTCCTGGGCCACATCCTGAAAGCGTCCCCCGCGGGGAGGGGACAGAGCCGAGCTGGGCGGGAATGCAGCCCGTAAAAGCAGCGACGCAGCCCCCCTCCCCGCCCGCGGCCGTGCACGGCCAGCACGGCCAGCAGCTGGATGGCCGAGGGGCTCCGCCAGCATCTCCGCCGCGGCTTGGCTCACCTGCTGACTTTCCTTCCTTTTCCTTGTCAACTACCGCGGACACACGTCCCATGTGCCCCCAGTTACTCCTCAGAGCTCACCTTGCCTGAGCCCCGCTTGGGCACACCCCTGTCACCGCCAAAGAAGCGCCCGAGGGAGTCGAGGATGCCCGTGTCCCTGTGCCTCGGGAGGAAGGCATGCCTGGCGTGGTCCATGGCACTCGCTGACGCCAGGTACTTGGATCCGTGCCTCTGGGAGGGTCTTTTCTGTGACGCCATCACATCCAGGCCCTCGGGAGTGGCTGCACTGTCCTCTTGGATGGTCTGGAGCTCGTCTGACTCCGAGGGCCTGTCTTTGAAGGTGTTGTCCTCTCTGCCCGGAGCATCTCGGGAAAAGAGGCGGATCAAGTGGGGGCGGCCCCCGGGGTCAGCTGGGTTGGCGTCCTGCCAGGCATTCTTTGGGTCCGCTGTGCGCTTGGAGTCTGTCACCGCTGTGTCCTGAGAGGGGGTCCCATTGTTCTGCTCCACATCTGCCTCCCCTGCAAACAACAGTGAGACATGAACACGGGCCGTGCAAAGCAGAGCGAGGGACAAAGCCGCTTTCTTCCAGGGCGAGGGACCTGCCTGTCTCCTACCAAAGCCACAGAGTGTGAGCAGGGCCGGCAGGCTAGGTGGCAGCCCCGACGGCTTCTCGCAGGGCCTGACCTGCCCCGAGCGTCCTACCTGTGGGTCTCGTCTCAGCGTCCCTTACTCAACATCTGGCGCTCCAGGCCAAGCACACTCTGCTTCCCACGGAAGCGGCCAGCGTGGACACGGCCGTCACCCCTGGGTTTTCCCACGGCCGCACGGGGACAGGCCAGGACTGTGGGACGCTCCACCGGTGCCCAAGCCCAACGCTCTGGGAGCACAAGGTATTTTTAGCGTACTTGATGAAAATGGAACTTCCCACATCTTTCTGCAATGCATGCCCTGAAGAAACGGGCATTTAGAATTCTTTAGTTTCCAGATCCCACAGGAGGCCTCTTGCTCCAGAGAACACTTATTCAGGACATTTCCATGTGGCTTTTCTGCGAGCAGCCACAGTGGTAAAGTCTGAAGTGGGAACTGCCTGTTCCATGGGCTTCACCGTCCCTCAGCTCTTACACACAGACACAGACAGAGCCTTTCCTTCCAGAACGGCCATACCTCCATTCTGCCCTCAAGGTGCGAGTCAGGTGTAAGTGCACGTCCTCTCCACACCACCCCTAGTTACTTACCTAGAGAAAATGTGGGTTTACTCACAGGTTCCTTAATATCAGCCATCCATCCACCCAAATACCCACCTGTCTGCTCACTGACACTTACCCAACAGCAGCGCGCACTTAACCATTCATCTGCTCAGCCGCCTGCTTAGTCACCTGCCCCTAACCACCCACGGCTCCATCTACAGATCCGTCCACCCAGCTACCACCCCACCCAGTCACTCACCATCCTTCCACCCACCCAGACACCCCACAACCACCCACCGTCCCACCCAGCCTCCCACCCACCCACCCACCTGGCCATTCAACCATTAGTAAGTGTAATGTACTGAGCTAGATGTTTGGGCTTCAGTAATGAACAAGGTGCGGTCCTTGTCTCATGAACGCCGATGGGAATGAGTGTCATGAAATGAAATGTTCCCAAAATGGCAGGTCCCCATCCTAAACCCCTGTCCCTATGCATGTGATCGTGTTTGGAAATAGGGTTTTTTGTAAATATAAGCATGGTAAGATGAGGTTGTACCAGAGGAGGGCGGGCCTAACCACACGGCTGGTCCGTATGAGAAGAGGGGCTTTGGACAGAGACACAGACGCACAGGGCAGAGGCTGTGTGATGGTGGCGGGGACACAGGGATGCGGGGACACGGGGACGCGGGGACGCCAGAAGGTAAGAGGCAGGGGGTCCTCCCCGAGGGCCGGCAGCAGGAGCACAGCCTTGCAGATACCGGGTCCCAGACTCCCAGCCTCCAGAGGGTGAGAGAGGAAATTCCTGTTGTTATAAATCACCTAGTTTGTGCTCATGTGTCACTGTGGCCACAGGACACAAATATAGTGTGTACCTTCACAACCAACCTGGGATAGCTAGGCCAACAGAGCAGGGTAAAGGGCTTCAGGGAGGCCCCATGAGGGATGGAATGAGTGGGCCAAGGGCACACTGGGGTGGAGTGCGGCTGCCTCTATAGGGGTGGACGCCCACAGAAAGACCTGGAGCCAGAGGGCTGGTGAGAGGAGCAGGCGAGTGGGAGGCCCAGGTGCCTGGTCAAGACTGCACAGGCCTCAGGGGCCAGAAAGGCTCCAAGAGGGACCAGAGACCCCTGTGGGATGTGGGCAGGACCAGACTTCCGGGTAGAAGGTGGCTGGGCCTGCAGGTGAACACAGGCGGGAGGGACCGACGGCCACGGGAGAGATGAAGGTGAGGCCACGGAGGTCCCCTTGCAGGGGCCAGGAGGAGCCCAGCAGAGGTAGTGGCCTCTTCCTTGCGTCACACATATTCTCGGAAGTGTGTGCGTCGACAACATGCACTTTCACTAACACAACGGTCACTAACACATCGGTCACTAACACATCGGTCACTAACACAACGGTCACTAACACATCGGTCACTAACACAACGGTCACTAACACATCGGTCGCTAACACAACGGTCGCTAACACATCGGTCGCTAACACAACGGTCGCTAACACATCGGTCGCTAACACATCGGTCGCTAACACA